TATGTTTGCTGTGCTCTCATCCTCCCGCCTGTAAAGGCAGATGGCTGCTCATACTTTGCTCATTTGTAGAATGAGGGATTGCCACAAATTTAATTACTCAGTGCAATTCAGAGATTTTCCTTAGACAACTTTTTATTAACTGGCATTTTATAATCAGCTGCACTCAGTTTAATTGTTTTTAGCTGGGTGAAATGAACCATGGTTAACTCATAATGGAGGATAATATCTACTGGAATTAACTGAATCAATCTGGTCTGATTTTGTTCTATGTTTTTTTCCTTTCCGTTTATGCAACCTATTAAAAAAATCTACTTATCATAATATTTTTATTTTCAAACCAGAGTATCTTACACATCAGTAAATTTGAAAGGCTGTTTTCAAATGGTGATTTTTCTTTAAAACTTAACCTGAGCATACAGTATGTGAAAATATAACATCTCACTTAGAGAGAACCTGTCTGACAACAGAAAGTATGCAGAGCGACTGCAAAGAGTCAAACATCATGTGTTGATAAAGTGATTAAAGAACACATGAGAAACAAGGTCAGTGAAATCTATCAGTCTGGAAACGTCTGCAAAGTCATTCCTAAAGTATTGGGACTTGTAGTGGATAAAGTTCTCTGGAGTAGCCAGCAGAGCAGATAAAGCCCAACAGAAGAAACAAAAACATCTAAAACACAAAAAACAAAAAGCAGGTTTAACAAATTATCATTTAAATCCTCAACTCTAAATTAAATCCAACCTAAAGTAACTAAAATATGATTCTTTCTGATCAAAATCACATTCCTAGACTGAACTGTAATAATATATTTTGTAAATTACAATTACAATTTTTTGCAGCAGAAACTGAGTTTAAGAAAGTAAAAAAAAAAAGATACTAATAAGAATTAAGTTTCATTTGCTTAGAAATTTTTACACATTTTAAGCGGCAGTTTGGACATTAGTCAGCTTGACTGAATATGTATTTATCATGTCTGGTATAAATTTCTTCATAATTAAAAATACAAATTATGACCTGTAACAATAGCAATATGTAGGTCTAGACATCCGGAGTATTTATTCTAGATGCGAAGAGTGTAATTTTGTTTGGAAAGGTCATTTTTACAAAGAAACAAATATTCAGTAAAACTAATACATATTAAATTGGGTTGCCTGTTGTGACAACAATAATATTAAGGGTTTATCTCTTAAATGGTTGTGGATCTATTTAGGTAAAATTATCTGGAAGCAGATGAAGATGAAATGAAATCGTACTAATAGATAGAACCTGTTCATCATCTCATTGGGTTCCTCCTCAGTTTAATTATGTCTTCCATCACACAGTAAATACCAAGTGGCTGTTTGCAGCCTCTTCAGATGCTGTTATCCCATTAAATCTTTGTTATTAGCAGTTATCAGTCTCAAAGAACGGCTTCAGATTGTGACAGTAGGCTCAGTAGGTTTGTTATCACTGAATTAATCCTAATCTGAACCCTAAAGTAATTCCTTCTCCCCCACGGAATTAATTTATCTTTTTATGTTTAATCTGAAAATAATTTCAGTAGTTCTTCATGTACTGTAAAAATAAATAAAAATAAAATGATCTGCATCTCGCTCTCATATTAAACAAACCAAAAACAAGTAATCTCATATCCTGTCAACTGATATGTAGAATCCCCTCCGTATAAATATTTAATTCTGTGTGAAAAAATGCTGATCATTCTTTAATAAGATCCTCGTCAAACAGACATGCAACGGTTGTTTTTAAAAGTTAATGTGTGTAACGGACCTAGTGAATGATTTTTTTTTTTTAATGCACAAAACTACAACAAAAATCGGACTAAATCAGGAAATAAAACTGTGAAAATGGCTTTAAGGGGAGCAAAGACGCTCTGAGTCTACTGAAGAAAACCTGCTATCCACCAGGTTAGCTCTGGGGAGAATGTTACTACGGCGACTGAAACAGAGGTTGAAGAAACTCTCCTAGTGAAACGGAAAATTCAGAGTTTCCCTGTTTTCAGGGTTAGAAAACTTTTTCAGTTAACCTGCTTTGTGAAACCAACCAATCATTGCACTCAGTAAGGCCTGAATACACGTCACAATAATAGGAACAAGCACAGGCAAAAACAGCAACTACAGGAGAATTATGTTATACAAAACAAAAAGAATCAACAATAAATATGGAAAGAAAATTCCTCCACAGGTCTAAAACACTTATTTTCCATTTCCAATAAATGTGTCACAGAGGTTTTTGTAACCAAGGCTTTCAGAGGAGGAAAGCGTTTCTCACCCACAGGCTGTTTCCCTCTCTGGAAATGATGAAAAAAAAAGCTTTTTCTATCGATTCAGATTACCTTTGTCTGATGATGAAAAGTGTTTGCAGTGGGTTTAAAATATTGAAGTTTATAAGCCAAAAAATGAATAAAACTGAATTGAAGTGAGAGATCAAACTGAACTAAAACTAAGGCCAAAGAGGATCCGTTACCAAAGAGGTCACAGTAGCTCTAAGCAAGCGTGAGTCCCTGCTGGCCTTGGCTATAGTAATGATTCTCCTTCAGGAGAGAGAAATGGTGAATGTGTGAATAAAAGAGAAAAAAATCCATTCTCTCCCATGTTCCATCTATAAAAAAAAAAAAAACATAGGTTTTTATCCAGAGGGTATTTGCTTCAACAAAACATCTGATGGAATTTGTTTTGAAGCAAATATCTATAGAAATATATCAAATAACAAAATAAAAAACCCAGATCTAATTGCAAGTAAGCCACTTTAACAAGAGGAAGAGCTGGAGATGAAGAGAAGTAACGCCGCAGTAAATCCTAAATTCCCCTGCTTTACTGCCGATACCTTCTCATGGCAAATGAGAAAAGTTTCACTTTTATTCAGAAGCAAAACTTCTATTTGAATCTTTGGATTAAAAAAAATGTCAGTGGATTTGAATGAACATCTAACTCTGCAAACGAAGAAGGAATAATGAGATCTTGACTTCATCGGATGAGGACAAGGACATTTCTGCTCACAGCTCCGACTCTGAGCGGCGTGAGGAGTGGCGCTGCAGGAAACTATTTCTGGCCACACACAGATGTAAGTGCATGAAATAAAGACGGAGATAAAGCTAATCTGCTTCCCTTTGAACTAACAACACATAAAGCATCTAACCTGGACTCTAAAGAGATTGGAGGTTTTGACATTTTGAGGGAGAGAGTTATTTCTTAAAAGCAGCTCTGGTGTTTGTTAACCGTCTGAAAGGTCGAATGAATCACTGAAGGCTCGGATGTTTGTTCGCAGCCTCCAATCAGAGGCAGCCATCTTTCTGATGTGGTGGAATCATTGTGGGACGTCCAGATGAAAACAGGGATAGAGCTTTCTGCTGCATGGTTCCATCTTCAACACGATCTCTTTCATAATGCAGTTTTATAATGATAAACTGGCCATAACTGGCTGCTGTCACCTGTTCCCTGTCTCTCATGGTACCTGAGCGGAGCCATGGAAGCACATGGAGTGATTAGTGCTGTTGCTGTACATTAGACGACTCCGGCTCTGACTTGGCCTGTCTTCCTGAACCGACTGGGAGTTTTCTGTGTCCCTGCATGTCAGTGTGCGTGGGTGAATGTCTGCCTGTAATGGCCATGTGGTGAAATGGAGACCTATCCAGGGTGTACACTGGCTGCTATCCAATGTCAGCCCAGACACAGTCCAGGCTCTGCAAGAAGAAAGGCTGGATAATTATTTGGCAGTTACCTTAGTTTAGGGTTATGACCAACATAGCTGTAACACTGTTAATCTTTTCCAGATGAAGTTGAGCTTTAGGAGAAGTACTGATTAAGTCTCCTTCAAACGTGTTTCATTTTGCTCCATGTTTATAGTCAAAGCATTAGCAGGCAGTCATTTACGATGTTCTGCATTAACATTTCTCTCTTACTTTTCATCTCAGACGCAGCAGCAAAAGCAACCGTAAAATCTTTTTAGTTTTTTTTCCTCATTGCAAAACATGACTCCAAGCAGGAGATGTGTGGGAAATGGAGAAGAAGCATTCCGACGCTGATGGGAATGCTAATCTTTTTTTTTTTTTTCTTCCACAGGCTGAAAAATAAATGCTTCTCAAACTGTGCTTTGGTTGGAGCCTCACATCCCAGGAGTGCCAGTCCAGTCAACCAGAGAATACATTCCTACTCTCTCCTGCTTCAGTTTGATTCAATCACAACTAAACGTAAGATGAGCCAATGTCTAAAACTCAATCATCTACTACATGAAGTAATAAGGAAAAGAAACTGTTTTGTTTTTGAGTTTGATTCTTATAAAGAAGCCAAAAAAAATAGAATAAAGTCTCAAGGTTGTGATTATTATCAGAAAGAGAGAGAGCAGAAAGTAAGGAGGCTAGGAAAGACTTGTGTGAAGCACAAGGAAGGAAGGAAGGAAGGAAGGAAGGAAGGAAGGAAGGAAGGAAGGAAGGACAGAGAGAAAGACAAAAGAACAGACTAAACAACACAAGGAAAGAAGGAAACAAAATAAAATGAATGTTCCAAGGGAAGATACAAGAAGCTAAATAAAGACCAACATGGGGGGAAGGAAATAGACAAAGTGATGGAGAAAGGGGGTAAGGAAAGGACACAAGGAAGGAAGAAAGACGATAATGAAGAGAGCTGGAAGGAAAGGAAGGAAGGACGCAACATTTAAACAAAATGCTGGTTACAGTAATATAGAGATGAGGGGATTTAAGTGTTTGAAGTGTTTGACAATCACTCAGGTTTACGGAGGATTTTATTCAGTTTTCAGACAAAGTTCAGATTCATACCAACATTTGTTTGAATTACAAGTTTAAAAGTAACTCAGCATTTTTTTCCACCACTGCTTCCAGCTATAATTTATGCTCCTCCAGAAGCTAAAGCTACATTAGCCTGTTGTTTAATCCACTGTAGAACCAGCTTAGATGCGCTAATGCTCAAACCCTCCACGTCTGAAAGCTATTTAACTGGACGTGTCCATCCATGTGTTGATGTAACTCAGGCGTTCAGATGACCCACCTGTGTGTGTGAGGGGGGAAGGCCTTTCCGCCCGTACACCCCAACCAGGGCGTCTTTCTGGACGGATATGTTGAATTTCAGGAACTGCGGCTGGTCAATGTACAGCTGGGACCTCCAGAACACACCTGGAAACCAAACAGGAAACACATGTCAGCCAGTCTGTAAGGGCAGAATCCAGACAAACATGTTTATGACACAATGAGGACAGAGAGAAATGACTTTCACATTCTTAACTAAAATGGCATTTTAAAAAAAGGTTTAGTTCACTTTATTTCTAGAGAATCATTTCATAAGACTTTACACTTTACAGAGACAATAAATGTAATGCAGACATGGGCAATGTAGAGTCAACAAGTCATCTCCATGTCATGTATTTGTTCTACCGAGCCACTGAAGCAGGTGAGTCCAATCTTCACCGTGAATTAACCTGTGCAGATTGGACTCACCTGGTTAATTGGCTGGGTAGAACAAACACATGACATGGAGATGACTTGTTGACTCCACATTGCCCATGTCTGATGTACTGAAATTAAACTACTACATATACTGTAGTAATGCTATAGAAGAACGTAACTGGTTCAAATACTTTATCAAAGCAATAACATCAAGCTACTTTTTAATAATGTTTCAAAGACTATTAATCATGATGACTAAATGTGAGATCATCTCAGAACAAACAAACACATGGGCGTGCAGGTGGCGCAGTGGTTAGCGAGCACGACCCATGTGCCTTTTGTGAAATGTCTCTCCCCCTCTATCATACCCCCTTTCCTGTCAGCCTACTGTAGAATAAACAAAACACTTGTGCTATAAAACAAAAAAATACATATTAACAAACACCATGAATTCTTTTTAAAAGAGGGAAAGATAAAAGAAACATCCATCCATCTTCTCCTGCTATTTCCATCAGGGTCACGGTGGTTGATGCCTATCTCCGTCAGTCAATGGGTGAGAGGTGGGGTTAACCCTGGATAGGTCACCAGTCCATCACAGGGCGACACACAACCACACTCACATTCGGAGTATTTAAAGAAGCCAATTAACCTAACAGTGATGTTTATGGACTGTGGGAGGAAGCCAGAGTACCTGGAGAGAACCCACACATGCTCAGGGAGAACATGCAAACTCCATGCAGAAAGACCTGAGGCCGGGAATCAAACCCGGAACCTTCTTGCTGCAAGGCAGCAGTGCTACCCAGTATGCTGGTGAAGATTCTTAGTCATCCAGGTAATAGTCAATAGTAAAAAAACAATCAACTGGACTTATTTTCAAATTTAAAGATGCTTCGCTTCCCATCCAGGAAGCTTTTTCAATTCAAAATGTCAGAAATAGCGTTGAGTTTGAGGCTTTATACAGTATAAAACCAGTTCTGCAATGCCCCATACCTGTCTATGTCAGAGACATAGACAGGTATGGGGCATTGCATGCTAACAAAAATGACCAAACAACCCGCATTCTAAAGGGGTGGACCGTTCATGCTATTTCATGGCGTCATGGAGCCATGAAACAGCATCAGGTATCCATAGAGAATCCCACAGATGGCCGTCTGTGACAGAATCACAGTCCACTCATGCTTCTGTGCATCCTTACCTGGTGGAACGTCTTGTATGACTCGTTTGCCCACGTCTGACTCTCCTGTATCTATGGTGTTGTTCTCCAGAAGAAACATCTTGCCTGCAAAGTCAAACACATCCGCCTGAGAACCGCTTCTGTATCTCACTGCAAGCAGTTTTAGCTCTTTGAAAGCTTAGACGTGTTTATGGAAAAGAAACAATCTACAGAGCCAGACAAGCCTGGATCTGCTCCTCAAGGAACGTGTTTGATATTAAAACCATCCGTTTAAAAAATAGTCTTTAAAGTTTATGGGATCCAGTAATATATCTTGTAATGGGTAATGGTTTGAAGATGTATTTTCACAGTTTTAGTCTTTATTTGGACACATTTCATTCAAAGAAAGAGCGCGAAAGGAACATTCTGGGTATAAAACATCTAAGATCCCATCAGCAACAGTACTGAGGTAGATCAAGGCATTTCAGTTGAAATCATTTTTGGCTTTCAGGCAGTGGTGTCCTGGTGGTTAGTGCATAGAGCTTGGAATCCTGAGGTTCTGGGTTTGAGCCCCACAGCCACTCTGGCTCTCTGAGGAAAGACCCCACTGTGCTCCCCGGGCGCCCCATGGTGGCAGCCCACTGCTCCCCAAAGGGCTCCCTGGACCATTTTCAAATGCTCCATAACTGTCACTTTCCTGAAGCTGCCAGTTCAAAGTGGGCTGACCCAAATGGGTTCAATGCAGAGAGTGAATTTCGTTGCACTGTACTTGTCACAGTTTAATGGCGATATTCTGCTGGGGAAATTGTTGTTGCAAACTAGGCTGTTTGGTCAGTCTGATTTTGTCCCACTTTAGTCCAATAATAGACATCGAAAAGACGTTCTTTTTTAACTTTCACGATTCAACCAAATATAGACGTTGTTTGGACGTAAATCAATTCTAAGTCTTTTCAACTAATTTGGTCTCAGTGGGCTGCTCCAGGGTTTCACATCTGGTGCTTTTAAAAACTGACTACATGGATTATAACAAGTGGTTATTGGGGCCACTACTGTCTCTCTATCATCTTTAACCAGTCAGCTGTTTATCCTTTAACAGAGATTTTAGTTCACACCTATGCCTGGACCACTCTCTGTAGATCCCAGAGTAGATCTAGGTCCTGGAATATTCACACCACCTGAGGAAACACCTGGCATCTCCACTTTTGGCCATTCTGAAGGTTGCTATAAAACCCTGTGGGCTTTCTTCACAACGTCTGAATGCAAAAATGCATTTGGTTGATTTCAAAGCATAGCTTATTACAGAAAAATGTACAAATCATTAATACTGATAATATAAGGGCCTCATTTAATCACACGTTACAGAATGGCCAGATGATTGCAGATGTATGTGTGCAGTCAAGTGTTAAAATATTCCCAAAACATCTTAGTTTTCATGTATGAACAAAAAAGCCATCAGATAGTTGAACTCACCATTGTCTGTAGACAGTACAAAGGTGTTGGGAGTTGTATCTCTTCCTCCTCCTCCTCCATTTTCAAATGCTCCATAACTGTCACTCTCCTGAAGCTGCCAGTTCAAACCGAACAGGTGCATAGCTGCAGAAGGGAAGCACAACAAAAGGGTTAAACAGAGGAAAGGCCAGACAGGACAATGGAGGGAAATACCATCAAAGGCCAGAAGACAAGCAGAGAGAAAATGATTGCAGAGGGAGAACAGTGCAGAGAGGAAATAGAAAGATAAGAACAGAAAGAGTCAGAGGTGATTCAGAATCCATCCAACAGAGCAGAGGCATCCACACCTATAAGACTCACTTCTGTTCACTCTCACCTCCAGCTTAAATCCCCAACCACAGAATAACCTGCCCCACCAGTTCTGCTGATAAAGAACCATTTAACCCTTTAACTGCCTGGTTAACCACATGGATGACCGTTTGCTCAGCAAAATGCAGGTCGGCGATTGACCAGGGTTCAGGGACAAAAAAACAACAATTTAAGGCCAGATCGCCATACGCTTAGAAAAAACACCAAAAAGTAAGTAATTAAATTGTTTTTTGTACATGACTAAAGGTATACACACCTGCTGAGGTGGTTGAAAGTCTATTTTTTGTACAAAACTTAAGGAATAAACAGGTATTGACTATTGGGATGCTGGTCTGACTGGGTATGCTCATCTGAGAACCAACCAGGACCTTGGTGCCTTCAAACTGCACCCCAAGCAGCCTGCAACTATATAGGTCAAGAAAAATTAACTTTTAGGATGTTTTTCTCTGTTTTTTCCGATTCATTTATTTAGCAACATTTTTTCAACCCTGGATTTTATACCAACTGAATAACAAACCTTTTAACAAACATTGCTATAAAAGCGAAAAGGCATCCTGTCAGCCACGCTGAGTGATTATATAATTTATAATATAAGTTAAGAACAAGCTAGGTTATAATTCTAATTAATAATTAGATACAATTTCTTTTTATATTAATTTCTTATTTTCCTTCCAATTTTCCGATGCCCCCCCCCCTGTGCTGCAGCAGCCCCCAGTTTGATGCATCCTTCTGGAACAGTGTCTTTTAGACAGATGACCCAGCAGAGGAAACATGGGTAAAGTAAAATGAGGAAAACAAAACACGTCAAGTCGGCATCTGTTTGACAACACCTGTGGCTGAAACTGGTTTAAATAATTTATGCTGTTTAATCGAGTAAAGAAGTCAAAGAAAGTAATTGGATTTAAAGAATATTAACCCTTCTACAACCTGATCAAACTCTGCCTTAATTGCTTTCCATAAATGATTTAGTTTTTTCCAGTTTGAACTTAGATTTTACTGATTAACAAACCATTTTCCTGTTATTATGTCATTCTTTGTAAAACTCTGATTATAATTACTGTAAATGTATTAATTTTAGAACAATAGATAATTATCCATTGATTATTCCTTGCTGACCGGAATTTTCCATTAAATAATGCGTATTTTTAGTGCAGATTAACCATGAACACGGCCATCTTGTCCATTCTATGCTACAATCTCACATGATGAACGCAGCCACTTGTGTCTTTTATACGTTTCGCTCTCTATGCATTGCTCTGTATGTTACATTGCTGCCCTTTGTGAGCTTTATCACGCTTCTTCACAGACCGTCCATTGAAAAGGTTGGAGAGGTAATTAAGCTTTAGACAGTGTCAATTTATCCGTCATGTTAAATGCTCCATATGCACGAGGTAGCTGTGGAGCATACAGACAGGTGAACCATCCAGGCGTTTGCTGAAATCACAGCGTCGTATACAGCATGGCCACAGATGGTTCTAATAAAAAGCAAAAAGAACTGATGAAAACAACAGAGTCTGCCATGAAGGCAAAATTAGAAGAGACAGGAACACAAGTTGTCCATCTGGAAGACACCTCCCACTGGGTTCCCCCTGATGTGTGATTGAAAAGCAAGTGAGAGCAAAATATGTGAAATGGCATCTATGCTGTTGAAAAGAAGTAATCGGGGCTGGCCAGTCTGTCCAAAAACATCCCGCTGATGGGACACCACCGCAGGGTTTAGAAGGAGGGGCAGTGTAAGATAAAGTGACCCATAAATGGGTTTGTTTGAAGGTAGCAGCTCTGGGTTTCTCAGCTCTGCTTTCACTCTTTTTAACAAACATTGGAAATGGTTGCAGAGCGTAAGCTGCAAGAAGGCACGCTTTAATGCACTATGAGGTGGCTTTTTCATGCAGACGCTGTTGTTATGCTGCTTCCTCTCCTGCTTCTTCTAAAGTTGTGAGAAATATATGTTGCGTGGGTGTAAATATGACGGAATTAGGGATATTTCAATGTGGATGGTAGGATGTTAAGGATGGTATTCGGCTACTTTACTTCTACTTAAAGCCCTGAATGCCATTAGAACAGAACTGAATGAGGATCTGGACATAAACCCCACCCTTTGGGGCTCAGGTGAATGCTGCACTTTGTAAACCCATGGAGCCAGCAACCTTGATTGACTTGAAAGGACCAAGTGATCCTTAATAAGCGGTTCAATGATCTGAAAGCTGCTGAACATAACAGTGGGATAACAGTGTATCGAGAATTAATTAGCTTCATGAACTCTATCATGCAGCAGTGGCTTCAGAAGCTAATGTTGAAGTTAGCATTCATGTTAAATATGAAGCTGGTGAACAGAATCGACTCGGTCAGCACTGCCAACTCTGAGGACATGAGGAAATGATTCGGACCTTGATCGCTGGGTGTTGAAAGGGAAGCAGATTCAACATCAGAAGAAAACAGAAATAGTGAATCCTGACACCGATTCACTGCTACTCCACATTCACTGCTCCCCTGATTAAAGTAACGTCTCACATCTCCTGGTTCCTTTACCTTTTTGTAGGTGATGGCAGCACCACAGGTTCATGGGAAGGTGTGTGTGTGTTCAACAAACCATTAAGCCAACGCTACAT